AGAATGTATTAAATAGAAAATTCCATCGGTTGTTCAAATTATTAACTAGACATTTAACATTATAGACGGAAAAAAAAACTCGTTGTTGTTAAACTTTTTTCATCATCTTATATATACTTTTGTTTTTAAATGTAAAATTTTATGTATATATATATAGCCCGATTTGTGCATCAATGCCATGGGGTAATAGCTCAATAGTTTCAACGAATGTTTATCAGCATATATTAGGTCGTCATCGATTTAATTATGGTAAAATAAGAAAAATTTTTTTTTCTTATTTATTAATTTATATGATTAATATAATTTTTAGAAACATATGTCAATTATGATCAAGATGAAGACACTATGATTGCTGAAGCTGTTGAAAGATCAATGTTTAATCATTGAAAAACAAAATTGATACCCGGTTTTTTTTGTAGTTATATACTAAGCATGAAGTGATATAGAAAAAAAAAGCTACATATATTTTTTTTGTAATGTTTTTCAACTTCTTTTTTTTGTTTTTTACTCAATATTATTCCTGAATGTGAATTGTCTTCATTGACTATTGTGATCAAATGGTTTTTTTTTTTTTAAATTTTAGATGCATATTAAAAACGAAATAGTATTATAATTAAATAAAATATTCTATTCTTAGTTTTCATTTTTCTTTTTTGTTTCTTATGAATGCAAAAAAATCATCAATCTAAACCAAAACTTCGAACATGGGCATCTGTAATCAGTGGATCATTAGCAGCTACTGGTGCTGTTTTTATTACAAATATGCCTGAAACAATTAAAACTCGAATGCAACTTGATGGTGAAGCATCGATACGAAATGGTTCAAGTACAAAAAAACAATATGTTAATATATTCGATGCTTATAAAAAAATTATACGACAAGAAGGTTTTAAAGCACTTCATGCAGGTCTTGGTCCAGCTATTGGAATACAAGTTATTATGAATGGATTACGTTTAGGACTTTTTGAACCTATACAAATTATCATAAGAGATGTAACTAAATGTAAACAAGATAGTATTTTAAATAAAGTTGTTTCTGGTGCGACATCCGGTGTAATAGGTGTAACAGTTAGTTCACCACTGTAAATAAATTTTTTTGTTTTTTGTCTTTTATAGTTGATATCTATAAGATTCTAGTTGATTTTTATTTAGTTATCTTGCTAAAAATCGTCTTCAAGCTCAATCGAATTATTTTCATGCTGCTGAAGAACATCATTATAAAAATACATTGGATTGTTTAAAAAAAATTTTTCGTCATAAAGGTTTTTTTGGTTTATTTTATGGTGTAACTGCTGCTTTACCACGTGTTATTGTTGGTTCAGCTACACAATTAACAACATATGATAAATTAAAAGAATTTTCTATAAAAAAATTAAATTTACAAGATGGTTTTCCAGCTCATCTTTTTGCAAGTTTTATATCATCATTATTTACAGTTACTATGATGAATCCATTTGATGTTATTTCAACACGTATATATCAATCAAGTGGTCGACAAACAGTTTATTATGGTGTTATAGATTGTTTTAAAAAAACTGTACATGCTGAAGGATGGAAAGCATTACAAAATGGATGGTTAGCTCTTTATTTAAGATTAGGTCCACATACAATATTAACATTTATTTTTCTTGAAAAAATACGTGCATGGTTTTTAACATTCGATACGTTAAGTATAAAACCTCAACCTATTCCAATAGATGTTATGGTTAATAGTGATGCAAGTTAAATAAAAAAAATAAATATGTATTTATAATGATCTTGTCACTTTTATAATTTATATATATATATATATCTATATCTTTTATTTTTAAATTGAGAAGAAAAAAAATATATATTATACAATTTTATTTATATTTAATAAAAAATAATCAAATACAATAGAGAATGGTAAAGAATTCTTCGTTAATAAATATAGCTAGATAAACAAAAAAGAAAGTATATCATTTGATAATTCTTTTACTTTATTACTTTCGTATAAATTAGCACTACGACAAGAAAATATACAAAGCAAAAAAAAAAATATGAATACATAGTATATGACAGTTTCATCTAATAAGTTAGAATAACCTAATTGTTCCTATGTTGATAGATTATAATTCTGAATAGTTTATGGTAATCCATATATACATATATATAAGTAAGAAATTAATATCATCTGAAATTTTCAAGCTTTTATCTTCTTGCATATGTTTTGAATTACATACTAATGCTTATACTCGATAAAAACAATCGTACTATAGTCGTCATAGACTATCATGAATCTGTACAGCTTCAATATTGATTAATTAATCTTGAATATATGTTATATTACTAAGTCATGTTGACTTTGTTCTAGTCGTTGAAAAACAAGACGTACTCAATAATTGTCACTAAGAAAAAGTTTATATTTATAAGATAATTGTTTAAAATCTATAAGATTATGAGTACTTGTTCGATGATTAAATGTATTATCACAATGTGCAAAAAACAACATTCTTATATGATATCGAGATTTTGTTGTTTTTATTATGTGTATTTGACATATAACCATTTTAAACTTATTCGTCTAGTTGTATGAGAATTAAGATAGATAATAAATGAATTTTCTTCATTTTCTAAATCTAAGAGTTTTTGAACTAAATATAGAACAAGCATTTGTTGTTTCCTTTAATTGTCTGAAACATATGTCAGAGGATTGCTTACGCGTGGTACATGATGTTTGATAAAAAAAAATATCGTTCTAATAAGCTTATCAACAACATTAACAATGTGTTGATAGGTTAAATATTTGAATTAGAAAACTTATCTAAATGGAATGACGTGTCATTGTGTTTACAATTGATATGTAAAACTAATAAAAACAGTCAAACTATTAGAGTATTTACAGATCACTGGAGTGGATATCGTTATTCTTAAATACGTGATAAATAAATGCTAATATGTTTTCGTTGATTGTCAATAACAGAATAGATTCTATACAAAATAGTTGACTAACTTTTTCTATTATCTAGAAAAGTTATTTAAAAAAACAAAATGATTCATCATATTAATCATTATGTTTTGCTTTTTCATAGAAGTTTATCATTGAAAAGTCATAGGTGAGTTTCTCTCTGTTTTTTATGATATAATATGCTGTTACAATTATGTACATTTGTTCAGGTTACTATTTATAGATGTGCGAAATTTTTAGATGATTCAGAAGTAAGAATTATTAATATAAATTATAATGATGGACAAAAGTTTATAGCAGTTGGATTTTTGAGTTTTCTTCTCTATGATAAAAGCTACGAAGAATCTGAAAAAAATATTTGAATAGCTGAAAAGATCTTCTATCAGGATTTGTGAGTCTAAAAAATTCCAATAGAACTGCTTGAATGAGGATGCTTTGAAAACCAAGATCTTCAAAACTAGTTTTCTGACATCTATTTGAAGCATATTAGAAATGGTTTTATCTGATAGAGCAAAATTAAATGTCTCGGCTTCCTTCATAGTACTGCATTCAGTTTACAGAAGACTCGAGAAACATTTTTTCTTGAATTTTCTATAAATTGAATACAGTTCGATGAAGGAAGATGATGAAGCGAATCAAGACATCTTATTTAGCTCTATCCAATAAAACCATTTCCAAAATGCTTCAAATAGATATCAGAAAACTAGTTTTGAAGATCTTGGTTTTCAAAGCATCCTCATTCATACAGTTTTATTGGAATTTTTTAGGTTCACAAATCCTGATAGAAAATCTTTTCAGCTATTCAAATATTTTTTCAGATTCTTCGTAGCTATTATCATAGAGAAGAATACTCAAAAACACAACTACTCTAACCTTATATTCGTCATTATACCATCCTGGTAAAAAATATAAGAGCAGTGTATTTTTGATTCTTTTTGTCTACGATACCAAACATTTAACTTAAAAATACAAATAGTGGTTTGAATAGCCGATGAAATTTTCTATCAAATGTATTTCATAGATGGACTCTGAGAGGAAGATATCTGAAAAATCACATGCGATACTTTTCAGATCGTGAAAACGAGTCTTCAAGAGTACTATCTGAAAGAGCACAAAATTCTGATTAAAATGAGAGATCACTGCATTGCTAAAAAACACATATTATGTTTTTTGTGATGCTTATTATTTCTTAAGAGAAGATGGTAGAAAAATGCAGTGATCCCTCATTTACTCAGGATTTTGTGCTCTTTCAAATCGTACTCTCATTAACGAATTTTCATACAGTCGTCTGAGACCTAAAAACGACTGTGTGTGGTTTTTCAGAAACTATCCTCTCCGAGTCCATATATGAAATACATTTGATAGAAAATTTCATCAGCTACTCAAACCACTATTTGAGTTACGGTGATCGTATATTTTTGACCCGTATTGTAGCTTGACTCTACTACCAAAAAATTCAATTAATTGTTATTCAATGAAATTGAAAGTTTTCTTCAAAAATATTTAGGATTTGTTACATTTTTCTATAAAATGACATATCAAACTTTTACTATTTAAAATTATCATTGATTATAAAGTTTCATTCTATTGTAATAAACATCCATCTTTTATATTATCACATTGAAATCTTATTGTAGTTGTAATTATCAAATGAATACTTTACTAAAATCATTAATTTTCTTATCAAATATATAATACATATACTGATAAAAGAAAATATTATGTTCTCATACGTATATTTATATCATAAAATACAAAGAATAAAGATCACGTTGAATAAACAAAGATAATTTAACAAAACAAAAAAAAAAAAAATACCAGAATAGAATAAGTATGATATTTGTTTACGAATCGTATAAATTAACGATTTGTCTCTTTTGAATTTTCTCTTTTTTTTTTTCTGAATAGTTTTCTATAATTTATCCTGTACAAACATATGTTTTGTATACGATAAGAAACGAAACAAAATACAAGATCAAATAGAAACATTTATGCATCTTTAATACATACAATGACTGAAAGTAAAACAGAAAATAAGTATAAACATACGATTGAACAAAAATAAATTTTTAAATTTATTTGTCTGTATCAACAATATGATATTGTTGATAATGATGATATGGTGGTTGTAAAAGATCATTATCATTATTTGAAATAATTGATTGAATAATTAAATGTTGTTGATCACTATTATTATTATTATTATTATTATTATTATTATTAAATCGATGTGTTTTAAGCCAAAGATTATTTATTGAATCATTATTATCATTATCTGATATATGTTTTAATGACCAATCTTGATAAAATTTTCTAAAACGATCATATTGTTCAAGTGCTAATCGTTTATGATTCTAAATAAATTTTTAATTAGAGAAAAAAAAAAATTTTTTTTTAAAAATTTTTGTTGTAATAAAATTTAAACATACTTGTTTTGTTGAACGCAATGAACCGGGTTTATAAAGAAAGAAACCTGCACGATGAAATGGTCGACGTTTAAGTGTTTTTGTATCAATACGACAATAATCATTATTTATTGTTATTATTTCAGGTGTTGATTGATCATTTAATGTTGAAAGATTTCTATTATTAAAAAATAATTATTGTTTTTCTTCCCTCATTAAGAAATTGTTTCAAGTGATAGATCGGTTTTGATGTTCGAACTCTACACATAAGATAGACCCTAATCAAATATGAAAATATCCAAAAGGATGATAAATGCTCTTAGACATGCATTTCAGAGTTATAATCATTTTATGCAGATTTTCAACTATGGCATGGTATGACCTGAACTTTGACGCACAGATAGGTCTACTTGTGACTGAAATGCCCCGAAAGTTTCAGCTCGAAAAAATGTTTCCTCCGTGAGATATTCTATTTCCAATAATAAAACCTGAAATTCGCGGGACATAAATAATTGTTGGAAAACTGTGGAATGCATGTCCAAGGATATTCATCACATTGAGTATTTGCATATCTGACTGGGGATCTACTTTATAGAGTCTAAATTAGAGATATGCGGAACAACGAGAAAAATTTTTGTCGGAACTCGAACGCAAGTTTATAGTAAAATGTTATAAGCAAATTATCTTATAAATCAGAATGTAACTGAAACCGCTAGAAAAGATGTTGTCAAGATCGAACCACGATCATGAGTACATCAGATTTACCGAGGTCAAAGAAACTTGGTTCTACATATCTCTAGTCTGAACTCAAAAATGATTTATCACTTGCGGATTCTTTTGTTAATCATACCGAAGTAAAAATCGAGGTTTTTTTCGTAATTTTGCTCTTAAATGTGCTGTTATTGATTCATCATGATCACCTTCATTCTTATGTAAATATGATTCAACATATTTGGTTCCATTTTCACATATTCTATCTTCATCTTCATCATCTGATGAATCGATAATAATCAATGAAGTTGTTACTCGATGATCATTTTTAAACTGAAGACAATAAAATAAAATAAAATTCAATTCTATGAATTGAAAATTTATAATTTATGTTTAACATACTGAACAAATACGAAATAAACGATTTCCATTAGCATATGATTCCATTTCACGTTGATAAATAGCTTCAACATTTTGTTGTCCAATTGAATAAAGATTATCCACAAGACCTACTGTACTATTTGTATGTGAATATAAACGCATAATTGCGTCTGATGATTCATCAGTTACAATAGCATGAAGCTAAAAGAAAAATTATTATGAAAAAAGAATTTCCTTTTTTTTTTTTTAATACTTGTCGAATACAATTCTGAATAATTTTATCCATTGTAAATGCAATAT